ACTCTGGGCCCATGGCCCCCAGCTTGGCTAGTGCCCCTCAATCCTGACCCGCAGCCCCCTCCTACCCCAGCCCTGGGCTCATTCCCCAACCTCAGCTGTGTCAGTGCCCCTCAATCTCAGCCCACAGGCCCAGCAGTCCCAGCCCATGGCATCCTCCCCCCAGCTCTGCTGATTCACTCCAGCCCTAGGTTACTTTGTTGCTTTGAACAAAGATTCCCACAGGGATTATACAGGCCTCCCTGCGCCCTCCCCATCTGTACTGTCACCTCTGGGACCCCCCCTCCCCGCCCCCATGTGTCTAAAGGGGGCTCTTCCCTGGATCCTTTCCAGCCCCAGCAGAGGGCACTGTGCCAGTTCAGCCACCCCCGAGCAGGGCATGGCTTGGGGGATCCCTGACAAGGGTGCGTCCGCGATGGCCACTCCCTGTCCGAGATCTAACCCCCTCCTGTCTCCCCGCAGAATCGCCAGGGCCGAGCCAGGAGCCAGCAGGACCGTCTCCTATCAGAGCGAGCCCTCGCCTCACGCTCAGCAGCGTGCCCTGCTGGGCCCCGTGCCGCTCACCAAAACCACCCGGGCCGCCACGCTGCGGGACCAGGAGGACGAGATCTTCAAGCTCTGATGGGCGGAGCCTTCTTTTCCCCATGGACTCGCCTCTCCCCTCCTAGCCGGCACATCCAGCCACGGGGGGGGGGGGAGGGGCAGCGCAGGGTTTGTGATGGTCCTGCCAGGGAGACCCTGACGGCGCTGAGGCCCTGATCCTGGCAGGAGCCTGCGTGAGTCCTCCAGCTGTCCCCGCCTTTGCACCAATCTGCGGAGGGGTGGGCTGGCTGCAGCGGGATCAGTGTATGGGGGACGTTCTGCGGCTGGGGGGGGCGTGCACAGAGGCGTGTTATGGGGGTGACTGGCAGAGCACCCTCTTGGGGCGGGGGAGTCTCGGCGACACGCTCTAATGCCCAGCGTTTTCTGCGCTGCTCTGCTCCTCGCCGGCTTTTCCCACGGCCGGGCTCTGAGCTCCCCGTCCCAGTGCGCCAGCCTCTCCCTGTCCCATCCCGTCAGGTCGCCGTGTTCGGAGACAGCCCCGTTGCCTGCAACCCCCTTGGGTCTCCTTTGCTCCCCTGCTGAGACTTTAGGGAAAGGCCTCGGGATCAGGTCCTCAGCCCGGCCCCCCCAATCATCTACTGATGCCCCTCAATCCCGACCCACAGCCCCCCTGCTCTTCCTGTTGTGGGACCTTGACCTGTTTCTAAATGAAACAGGCGCCTTCACAAGCCTGATGTCCTGGGGGGTGTCAGGACCCTCGGCAGCTGATCCCATAGGACGCCTGGCAGGCAAGAGTCATCGTCGCCTGCAGCTCTCACTGCCAGCGAGCCCACGTGGGGTCGGGCTCTCGGGGCCCAGCTCCCACACGGGAAGGGCTCAGCATCCGCTGTGCTGAAACCCAGCCCCTTGGGCCTGAGCTGAAATCCGCCCGAGTCTTTCCATTGACCTCTGGGGTGGGGCCTGGCATGGGGGCCGAGGGGGCAAATTCCATACGCTGCTTGGCTTCCTCGCCCTGAAAGCGATGGGCACAACCCCTCCCACCCCCGCTCCCCATGGAACTGTCCCCTGAGTCTGCCAGAGCTACTCAACGACCTCTCACTGCTTAGGATTTCTCTTAGCCTGGCTCTGGGGGAGGGAGCTGGGGTCTGTCCCTGTTAGCCCAGCGGGGCCAGTCCAGCTCTGGGGGAGGGAGCCAGGGTCTGTCCCTCCTTGTGTGCCATTAATCCAAGAGCTGACCAATCCTTTCTGGCTGTCTGGAGCCCCTGTGATACTAGCGCTGATGATCGCCTGTTAATTTGTCTCTTTGTTACTGGGCGTGAGGTGTGAGAGGGAAAACACCCAGCTTGACTCTCAGCTCCCAAGCTGATGTTTCAGGCCGGGAAGGGGGCGGAACGGGGGACAGATGACAGCTAGTGGCTTGTAACTGGTGTTTGTGGGCCAGGGGTGAATGAAGGAACTCCCAGAACAGCCCCCCCTTTGAAGGTGTTAACTGCTTGAGCCAAGCCAGAAGCCCCAGACTCTGAATGGGGCAGGTAAGCCGGGCCCTGATTTCCCCGCTCGTCTGTTTCATTCAGCCGTATTGATTTGGAACCCTTTGCTGTCCATCACGGCCCAGCTCTGGAGAGGGAAACGGAGTTAAAAATAAAACCCTCCCTTGGGTTCCTCTTTAAAGCTGCCTCGCCACTGAGAGGCCCAGATCCTCTTTAAATAACTCTGCCAGGTACTTCTCAGGCACAAGATTGAGATCGGCCGCCCGGCCAGCGGCGAAGGGACTTGCAAATAAAACTGTTCCGTCCTGATTGCTCTTTGAACAAAACACGCAACACGTCTCCGTGGTGAATCATTTCTGTTCCTCCCCTTTATTTCCCTGGTGAGGCACAAAGCAGGTTTGGGTCGGCTTTTGTACAGCAGTGGCAGTCAGCGGGGGGGTGCTCCAAAAATGGGTCAGATCCTGCTCCCGTAGAAGTCGCTGGACGTTTTGCCCTCCCTTGCAGCCTGTGGCCGGTGCTGATTTGTCTTAGGCTCTCGATTGCAGTGAGTAAGGCCCCCGTGACACCTGTGTTAGAGGGAAAGCTGTGTAGCCCAGGGTGGGGGCAGTGGTAGAGCTGTCTGGGGGGGCCCAGGGCTGGGATAGCAGCGGGGAGGGGGGTGGGCTGTGCGTTGGGATGGAGGAGCAGTGGCAGAGTCTGAGCAGGGCTCAAGGCTGGGATAGTGGGGGCTGGGGTGCAGCAGAGCAGTGCGGGGGCAGAGCCAGTGAGGGGTGGAGTGTGCCGGGGCCTGCTGATGCAGTGAGAAGGGGAGATTGATCAGTCAGGCTTGCAGGGATGGGAAAGCAGGACCAGCGCCTCCCCCTGGCTGAATCCTGAGCGGCTCTGGGCCTGTCCCTGTGGCGGCTGCCCGCTGTGCCAGCGTGTCCCATTGTGGTGCCGTTCACCTTTGCTGCAGTGAGCTGCCCGTGATGCCCCAGGCTGGCCTTGCCTGCAGTCCGCCTCTCCCTTGGAACTGTCCGAGTCCCGCGGGCATCGTTGCCAGCAGAGCTGCTCTCCGTCCCTGGCCTCTGCCCAGTGCACCCGGCTTCCACTAACCTGTGACGTTGCATCCCCGCCTGCGACAGGGCAACCGCAGGCTCCTCTGTCTGCTTCCTCCCTGCCTAGGTGGAGTGCCGGTTGGGTGCTGGGGCTGGACTGACAGCCTGGAGATCTCCGCATCCCTTGGGTGCCTGGGCAAACAGCCCTGCTCTGAAGAGCCCCCCCCCTTTTGTGCCATGGAGACCTGGGTGCTGCAAACCTGGCTGAGACCCATCAAACTCATTTCACGCAGCCTGCTGCACAGTAACGGCTTTTAATCGTGAGGCTTTTGGGGCCAGAGGCTCTTTAATGGCTGCAAGGAGCTGCCTTGAGAAAACCGGCACCTTTAGCAGCTCCTCACCGAGCACTGGGATCAGGGCTGATGTGGCTGGAAGAGCGCCCCCTACTGACCCACCAGTGCAAACTGCTGGAGCACCTGGGAGGCGCTCTTCCAAATGCTGACCAGGTTGGGGCAGTACCTAAGCCTAATTACATTCCTCCTCTGATTAATTACCACCTGTCAGGCTGTAGTGGGACCAGCACGGATGCTCATGGGCAGGGAAGGTTTTACTTTTGGGGGTCTAATATCTTCCGTAGAAGGCAGCTCCTGGAATGTGGAGAAGCCAGCAGCTTCCCCCAGCTCGGGCGAATCGAACCTGTGACCCCTCCATCTGCAAATGCACCCGCCAAATTAAAACTGACAGCCAGGGGTTCCTGTAGTGAGCGTTTGCAGTGCTTTAATTTCCGGGGGCCAGAAAGCCTGTGGAACTTTGAGCAAGTGCAAAAACTTTGGGGGGGGGCATTTGTTCCCCCATTAATTGATGCCACCAGGGCACCAATCAGCCTCTTACCCCAACCAGGAGGGGGAGACAAAGCCATATGCTGGGTTAGTGCCAGGCCAGCAGCTGAGTGCTGGAGGGGGAACCCTGGGGTGTGTGGAGATCAGGCCAGGCTATCAGAGCGGGAAGGTGGCCTCGTGCCCCCCTTGGCGAGGGGCTGTTTTCCCAGGGAGCTCTGGCTCTGGTCTCCCCTGCCTCCCCCTTCCTACGCCGGGTGCTGTTTGACTTCGCAGGCCTGGGATGCGCACCGTCCAGCCACGTTCTCGGTGAGCTGGCAGCATCCAGCGTGGCAGCAAACCAGGCAGGGGAGGGTGGCTCTGAGGGCTGCATGCCCACCCTTTAACTATGCCCATGCCAGCCAAGGTAGCCTTGTCTGCTGGTCTGTTCCCAACGCGCCCGCTCCGAGGAAGCTGCTGGTATCTTTGCTTGACCTCTGCAGCCCCTGGGTTCGCGCGGGCCGCAGTGGAGGGAGCCCAGCTGCTAAGGGGCCTCCTCGCGTCATGAATCATCCACCTCTCTCCGACAGGCCATGGGAAACCCACCGACCTTCCAGCCCACCGTAGGCTGCCATGGCATTGGCCATAAACTGAGAGCCAAGGGATCACGGCGCTGTCTGGGGCAGGAGGGCAGAGTGGCTAGGAAAGGCATGGGGGGGACCCTACCATTTGCCTGCGGGACCTTTGACGGAGTTTCTGACTCACGTGGAGTCTCCCCTTCTCACCCTGCTCGTGGCCTCACCCGCGTCTTTGGCAGCGTCAGCGGCTGGGCTCGGGGAGGGAAAGTCCTAAACTCTGCGTGGCTGAAGCTAAGCTCCCAAACCTGAGCTTGATGCCGGGGCAGGGCTCCACCGAGTGCAGCCCTGGGGACTAGACCTGACCGCTGGGGAACCATGTGGCAAGGACAGGGGTTCACGCCGGTGGCTGGTCCCTTCCCCTGGGCGTTGCGTTTATGTGCAATTGACGTATAAGCTCAGAATCTGCCACCCCCCTCTGTTTTGCTGGCTCGGTGGAGCCTCGACTGATCCCTTTGGCCACGGGCAACCCCGCAATGGGAAGTGTTTGGGGGGGACTTGATCTATTGCCTTCATCGGCCCAGCCCCCTAATGCCCTGCAGCGGGAGCTGAACCCAGCCCCACCTCCGCCGGCCTCACAAACTCATCAAGGGGTAACTGCCCGGGCTGGCCCTGGTGCCCCCCCTGCAGGAGATCCCCCCGCGCGACACGGCAAGGCGGGCGCAGCTTCTCCCCCTTAACGTGTTAGTAACAACGACAAGACGAGTGTGTACAAAAATAACCACTCTGCAAGAGTCACTGACGGGGAGAAAGAGTCGGGGACGGGGGGCCAATCCATGAGGGTGTGGAGAGGACTGGGGCGGATGCGGAGACCACGGACGGGCCTGAGTGCAACCAGGACACGCCTGAGTCTTGATTGTCCTGTTGGATCCTCCAGTTCTCCATCCCCTATAAACCTGAAGGTCCTTGCTCCTCGCCTAGGATTTCCATAGGTGCTTAAGGGAGTAAGGTGCTTCCAGGTCCCCAACTCCCATAATCTTTTGCTGGCTGAGAAGGAGGAGAAAGGCAAGGCCCCTTCCCACCCCGCTCACAGCTTCCCCTCCTCTATCAGCTTGTTCAAGCCCTGGCAGATCTTCTGCAGGTGGGGCCGGTAGGGCTCCCCGGGGCTGTAGAGCTGGCTGAGCAGGTCGCCGTTGGCGAAGTGGTCGAAGACGTGGCGGATGCGGCCGTGGGACTTGGCCGTCAGGTGCTTCTCCACCAGCTGCAGCAGCAAATCCCGGCAGTCCTGCAGCAGCTGGGTCAGCACGCCCGACTCGAAGGTGAACTCCACCTCGTAGAAGCTGACGGCCGTCATGGCGCCCTGGTGCAGCTTGCGTTTGAACTCCTCCGCCAGGCCCAGCTCGCCCGTGCTGAAGCGGTTGTTGCGGTACAGCACGCTGATCTTGACGGCCACCTTGATGAGGTTCTTGATGACCTTCTGGGCCTCGGACCGGTTCTGGGTGTGCAGCTTGGAGACCCGGTACAGCTCGTCCAGGATCTCGCTGCTGGTGTCGTCCAGGAATACGTTCGCCACCGACTTGCTGGCCATGTGGCTCAGGATCTTCTTCTCAGCCTGCAGGGCCAGGTTCCTGGAGCTGAACGTCTCCATTGTGGCTGCAGGGGGAGCAAAGAGACGCTGCTGTTACGGGGTGTGGGGATGACGGAGAGCTTTGTGGTAAAGGCTCGGGGCTGGGACTCAGCAGAGCTAGCTGCCCCGGGCATCTTCCTGTATTTATATGAGGAACTACAGAAGGGGAGTGGATAAATTGGAGAGAGTCCAGCGGAGGGCAACAAAAATGATTAGGGGGCCGGGGCACATGACTTACGAGGAGAGGCTGAGGGAACTGGGCTTGTTTAGTCTGCAGAAGAGAAGAGTGAGGGGGGATTTGATAGCAGCCTTCAACTACCTGAAGGGGGGTTCCAAAGAAGATGGAGCTTGGCTGTTCTCAGTGGTGGCAGATGACAGAACAAGGAGTAATGGTCTCAAGTTGCAATGGGGGAGGTCTAGGTTGGCTATTAGGAAAAACTTTTTCACTAGGAGGGTGGTGAAGCACTGGAATGGGTTCCCTAGGGAGATGGTGGAATCTCCTTCCTTAGAGGTTTTTAAGGCCCGGCTTGACAAAGCCCTGGCTGGGATGATTTAGTTGGGGATTGGTCCTGCTTTGAGCAGGGGGTTGGACTAGATGACCTCCTGAGGTCTCTTCCAACCCTGATCTTCTCTGATTCTATGAGTGTAACGTGCTGTAGCGCTGATCTGGGGGTGTGACGCCCCTTCTTTCCACTGGCCTGAGCGACTCCTTGAGGGGACGGCTTCTCTGCCCCAAGTGCTCTGGAAGGCTCCCCTCCATGGCCTCACCTGGCCTGCTGAACGTCAGAGCGCTGACTGCATGACCCCAAGGGAGTATCAGCAATACTAACTTTGTTCACCTTACTGTGGGCTAGGGGCTAATGACCTAGACTGGAACAGAGGAGACCTGAGTTCTATCCCATGCCCTATGCTGATCTGTGGGTGATTCTCTCCTTTCTCTGTGCCTCAGTTTCTCCATCTGTAAGATGGGGCTGCTGCTGTCCTCTGTTAAGGGCTAGGGAATTTTTGTTACCATCATTCCTTCTCCAGTGACTCCCCCCATCATTCAGCAAATATCTGCGCTCTGTGTGTCTTGTGGACCCCTTTACAGACGGTGATTTGGGGTCACGGCAGACAGCCCCTCTCCTCTAGTGCCCTCTGCATCCCACCCCATTGCAGTTAGCAGCACCGTGTTCTTTTTCTGCCATTGCTCCGGAGCCGGACGTGTCCCAGATGGCGGGGGCTGGAGGGGAGGGGGATGTGGATCAAACCGTCCCAGTGCAGCCCCAGCGGAGGGCACGTCACTTGCAATTCTCACCTGGGGCTCGCGGACGTTTCTGACTTTTAGCAAAGCACCGATGAGACACGGGGACCCCAATGCAAAACTGCTCCTGGGAGAGGCTGTGCCACGTTCCCTGCGCACAGACATCCTGCCTGGCTCTGCAGCTCCATTAGCAGCAAATTTATTCCTGGTGAAACCAGAGGCTAACGGGTGTTAATTCCCCTCGGTGCCAATTTACACCCGCTGGGGATCTGGCTCAAAGACAGAGCAGGGCACAGCTTGGGCAGACAAAGGGCGCGGTTCCCCGCCATGCTGGCCCTGCTCAAGTCCTGCCGCCTTGTCTTGGAGGGGATGCCCTTGGAGCGTGGGCGTTCAGTGGCTGGCTTGACCGGAGCGGGAGCAGGTCGGTGGGGTCCTCGAGGCTCAACGCTGCTAAACGGAGTTTTGCCCACTTCTCATTTTGGGGTTCATGGCGTTTACCCACTTCTCGTCTGGGGGCTGAAGTGCTGATTCGCTCCTCTGATAAGCCCAGCTTGGCTGCACGTCCCCCCACAGCTGACGTGCGTCTCCACCAGCTGGTCGTGCTCAGCAACAGCCGAGGCACTGAAATCATGGCTTGCCAGTCTGCCGTGAGCCAGCCAGTGCTCGGCACGTGTGGATTGACTGGACACATCTGCCGACCGTTACACCCCGTGTTTCGGACAAGTTGACGTAAGTTGCTAGACTAAACCCATTCACCATCAGGGCATCTCTGCCCCCCTTCGTGCCTCCGATGCCCCTGGAACACCTAAAAGGTTCGTTTACCCACGTCTTTTTTTTACCGCTGGGGCAGTGAACGGCAGCTGTGCTGGATGACAGAGGCTTCTGAGGTGAGGGTTTGCCAGGAACTAGGCTGAGACCCACCAGCTTATGACACAGACGCCCTCTTTTGCACTGTCACATCGCAGCAGTGCCAGTCTAGTCACGAGAGCTGCCCTGGATGTACAGGCCTTTGGGGGTGTCAGAGTCCCGGTGTTAAATCCGGATCTCCCCTTCTGTGCGGTGCAAACCAGTAACCCCACGCTGTGCCCCAGAGTAGCCTCAGTACTCCATTATCAAAGCGCTCTACAAAGGAAGGGCAGTGTGGTTATCCCTGGTTTAGAGATGGGGAAACTGAGGCAGATGGGGAAACTGAGGCAGATTGACTTGCTCCAAGTCATCCACCAGGCCACTGCCAGAGCTGGGAATAGAAAGCAGCTCTTGTGTGTCCCAGACTAGTGCTCTGTCCACAGATCAATGGTTAGACTGGTAATGACACAACATCCTGGACTCCGCAGTGGAAACCTGCCTAGGTTTAAAGTTCCTCTTGGACCATATTTGGCATTAGGCCTACAAAATACACTGGCGTGGTGGGAGGGCATTGGGCCCATAACCCAGAGATGAATGGAGCAAACCATTCTCTGCTAGCCCCCTGCCTCCTTCCGAGATGAAGGATGGTCCCGTGGCTAGGACAGTAGCTTAGCAGCCCTGGGTTCAAGTCCCTCCTCTGCCACAAACTTCCAGGGTGAGCTTGGGCAAGTCACCTAACAGCTCAGAGCCTCAGTTTCCCCATCAGCCCAATGGGGATAATTGCCCTGCGTCACGGGGGTGTTGTGGGGAAAAATACATTACAGATGGTGAGGGGTTCAATAATAAGGTAAGGGGGCTAGCTAAGTCCATAGAAGACAGACAGAACACCTTGCCTCAGAAAAGCAGCAGCTGTTTAGCTGGATAACAAAGAGCATCTGCAAATGTACCAGGCAAATTAAAACTAACAGCCAGGATTTTCTGTACTGAGGATTTGGAGTTTAATTTCTGGGGGGCCTGATTCTGAGAAAGCACTGAGCATGAGCCCCCCCCCCCCCAAATCCTGGTTCCTTAAGGGGTGACTTTAGCGCAAGTGTCGTGATATTTGGTATTTTTCTTCAAGCCCCAGCTCCCGGAATCCTGTGATTATACAAGAATCTCAGCTTTCGTTTAAAAACAAAGTAGGTTTCTAGCCCTTGTGGCTGCAGAGAAAAGCTGGATCCCCACCTCCAATGGCAAGGAAGGGGGCCTCCCGGCTCTCGGCCAAAGAGCCTGGAGAAGGACATGCTGTGTGGAGGGACTGTGGTCTAGTGGTTGGAGCAGGATGCTTGGGTTCTAGTCCCAGCTCTGGGAAGGGAGTGGGGTCTAATGGTTAGAGCTGGGGAGGGGGCTGGGAGTCAGGATTCCTGGGTTCTATTCCTGCTCCCTAGCCCTGCATTGGGGTCAGCTGGTGACATCTCAGCCCCACAGCAGTGGCCCTAGTGCTGCTCTGCCTGAATTGTGACAAGGCTGAATCAGTCGGGCTGGGGGGAGGAAGAGGAGGGTGGATCGGCTAGAGGAAGGCTCCCGGTTAGTCTGCCTGCTGGGGAAGGGATGGGGGACAGTGCCCCTGCCAGTTTAACGGGGCCCTGGTGGATGGTATTGTTTGGATAATTGCAGATTCCTCCTTGAAGGAATTTGCGCTCGGTGTGAGGCCCCAGGCTGAGTCTGGCTGTCCCCAGCTGGAGCGGGGTCTGGGCAGCCAGGGTTCCCAGCAGCGCTGCTGGCTTTGTATGTGATTGGAAGGGGAGGAAAGACCAGCTGCTGGACAGAGGGGACACATCCCATTATAAGCCGTGGGCAGGGCTGAAGCCAGAAAGGGCTGGAGACGAAAGCCCTGGTTGGCAGAGGAAGGGCGGGCTCGGCCTCGGCCTCTGCAGATCTTGGTTCTATTTCTGGGTCGGCCCCGCTCTACCTGGGTGGGCAAATCAGAGCATCTCTCTGTGCCTCAGTGCCCCGCCTGCAAAACAGGGCTCAGCTCCAGGTCTCATTTTGAAAGAGACCAGCGCCCCCTAGTGCCACACTGGGGTCCCCACCAACTGGGAAAGGAGGGCGCCCCCTACTGAGCCCCCAGCCTGCTCCATGCAGCACAGCGCCCCCTACCATCACACAGGGGTCAGCACCGACTGCAAATGGACAGCGCCCCCTATTAGAGCCCCCCGCTCCCTGCAGCACAGCGCCCCCTAGCACCGCACTGGGGTCAGCACCGACTGCAAATGGACAGCGCCCCCTATTTAATTCCCTCTTCTCTGCAGCACAGCGCCCCCTAGTGCTCGGGAGGATAAATGCAGCAATGACTGCGGTGTTCAGCTGCAGTGGTGCTGGGCCGGGGCAGGCACCTCTTTGCTTTAGGACCTGTGAGCAGGAGCGGGTGAAGGGAGCCTGAGAAAAGCAAACGCCCCAGCTCTGCAGACTCCAGCACATGTCGAATCCCACCCGTCCCCTTCTCCCCCCCATGTGGGGGAACCACACTCGCAGCCCCCTCCCCTATATAGCTCCCCATGAAACAGCCCCTCTCCAGTTTGGAGCCTTGATTCTCAGAGCTTCTTGGGTCACTGGGCACCTCTCTCCTGTAGGGTCCTTGGGAGTTCGGTGCCTAAATAGCTTTGAGACGCTGATCCTCGATTCCTGCACTTGGGGCAGGGCGGCCTTTAATCCTCCTTTATGGTCCCCCTGGTCCAGAGCTGCCCAAGGCCCTTGTAAAGCAGGGCAGCCCCGGGGGAGCCCTGTCCTAATGCAAAGGGAGGGGGGAGCGACTGCCGGGGTGATATAGAGTGGGGAGGCTTTGCAAAGGGGATGGTGCAGCGATGCAGGGGTGGGCGGGGCTAATGCAGGGGGTTGGGGGCAATGGCGCTGCAGGGCTGGAGTGTCGGTGTGGATGGCATTGCAGGGGGATGGTGA